TGTTGGATATAAAAATCTACACACTATAGCATAAGAACGACAAAGAAAAACTAAAACAAATATTTAATTAGAATAAGTAAACTATGCGACACTGTTACGGCATGAAGGTTGTGGTTATTAATGGTTGGAACTTGCTAATCACTTCTTTGTTCATCAGTTTCTCCGTTAATCGTCTTTTTCTTTAATCCCATTTCTCTCGTTGATTTTTTTTTGTAGAAATTAATATCACCATCCGAATCGACAAGCCTATTTTTTCATCTGCTACAAAAGTAGATAATCAAAACTAGTTTTTAACTTTATGAATATATAACTAATGGTTAGATCAGTTTTGACTTACTACGTTTATGAGAAGTGATAGCATGTCTGCATGAGACAAAATAGATGACCAATGATGCAAGTTTCGCCAGATGTTTCTGCACAAGAAAAAAAAATCTTAAGAGATTAGCACAACCTAGATCTAGAGCAAGAAAGAATGGGAGAAACAAGATAACCCATATTTAAGGAAAAAAAAATTGTTTTACAAATTCGCAAGTTACCTAGAAATAAACATCTTGGTCGTGGGTATCTTTATAAAAATTTAATTTTTTTAACAATTTAGTTATTTGATTAACTGCTTGAAAAACTAAATTATTTTAAAATATATTTAAAAACAATAAAAATATATGCACCTAATGAAACGAAGTCTTTTTTTTTAACATTTGAGGTATTCCATAAACAGAATCAAACAAAATCTTTATATACCTATTTTCCATCAACGTGTATTGTGAAACTAATAAACGGTAAATATATGTTAAAATAGTTAATTCAAAATGGTTGTTAAACAAAAATAATATTGTTGATTTAGTTCAGAGATTTTGTTTTTTTTAATATGAATTTAGTCGTTTAACAAATGCTAAATTTTAGATATTTAGATCTCTAAATGGTTGAATTATTTCTTTTAAAATAATCCTAAGAGAGCTTTAGAATTCTGTTTAGTTAATTACCTTTTGAAGTATTTTTATAATTTATATCTTATTGTCAGCCGAAAATTTGAAACCTGTAAGGGAGAGATTTAAAAAAAAATGGATGTATTTTATTTTTTCTTCAAAATATATCAATTTTATTTGTTGAAAAAAAACTAACAGCATCAATTTTAATTGATATATCTCGTATCATTTTTCTAAGTGATGTTACAAAAATCATAGTTAATACATCAATTAAATGAATTCATAATTTTTTTATCAAAAAATCAATTCCTACTTTTCTGTCAACATTTTCAAGTGATGCAAATTAAAATAAATTTGTATCAATTTTATTTAACTGATGTCAAACAAGTCGATAATAGTATCAATTCAATCATAGATTTTGTATTATTTATCAATCGTAATTTAAAATAGTCTCAATTATTTATTTTTACACAATTTATATGATGTAACACACCTATAAAGTGTAATGTGATTTAACTTTAATGCGTTAATTCAACTGAGTTTTTAAATTTATTATGTGTTTGTATGATTTATTTTCGCTTATGCATTGAGACTTTTGTGGCTAAAAATAAGTGTCCGTAAAAAAATAAAAGAATGAACAATCAACATTGAAGCAATTCGATGTAAAAATCCATATTAACACGACTTCATAATTAAGAGCATTATGAATCATAAGAATTGCTCCTGAAGAAGGAAGACAATATTGATGCGAAG